CAACATGCGAAGGATACTGCCGATTTCTGTGGAAGAATAGACTACATCGTAACGAAATAATCTGACACTGTTAACGTAATAAACGTTCCTGGTGGTAATACATAAACCGTCGGCCCGGGCACTGCGAAAACACAAGGGGAAAAGATAACCGAGCATGTCGTAAATGACATGACGTGGCAACTTGTGAAAAAAATAGAGAAATCAGCAGTATGAAAGTGTTAAAGCCATTAACGAATGCCAACACCTCGCAGGAATTCCGATCACTGTGAAAAAGGCGTTTGCATAGCCTACGCCGTAGCACCGACGTGTAACTGCAGAGGGTGCCGACGGAAAAATTGGAGTACACGATGGAGAAGAATGCTCAAAGGTTAATACCGGGTCGTACGGCCGAAGCAGTAAATCAAAAGCTGTAGAGGATTTTGCGGAAATTGGTTACGGGATAGATTAAGGGCAAGACCTTGTTTTCATCATCCAAATGAAGCTGGAATGTCTGAAGGAGTAGAACGTGGCGAGCTAGAATATGAGGGGCACTTTTACGAACAGAGCTGTAGGTATCGTTACCAGGAACTTCACCGTTGTCTAGTATGCTTAGCTCCTGACGGAGCACGGTTACATAAAGGGACCTGCAGATAAAGGCGAAATTGTTAGGGGCCTTGTCGACCGGCGTAATTACTAGCAGACATCGTTGATATCGAGAACGAACCAGGAAAGTGGAAGAGGTGAAGTTGTGAAAGGGGCGGCCATTAATGTAGAAACTATCTAGGAGGCGGCGAGCACGGGAAAGAACACCGTCACGGTAAATCATAGCGCTAGGAGGCTCTAAGCGATATCTCCGGACAAGCAAACGAATATATACGGTAAAGGTAGTGGCGAAATGATTAAAGACTTCAGTATGGTGCAAATTTCTAGATAGCCGGGAATTGCATCCTAACCTACAATAGTTTCCTAAGAAGCATCACCTAGCACACGTATGTCACCGGTGATTATGTGGCTGAGAGGAGGATATACAAAGGAATTGGAACAAGTGTATCGGACAAAGGAAGCTGTATGTAAAACGGCTAGAGTTCTGTGAAGTGTATTTAATAGGGAGATATGATTATATTTTTCTTCTGAATTTGATTTTATTCCTGCATACAGGCTTGCTTTAACTTTTTTTTTGTACTAGTTTGTTTCGTCTTTCTGTTTAATGCAGTCTTCAGTTTTTGCTTAGAGCTCCTGACTCCTGACTTGTATCCTCGTTCCCCTTCTTTACTCTGTCCCCAAATCCTGTCTGTAAAGCAGCGTCTGAGCTTCTCTTCGTCACTGCTATAAAAGCATTGTGGAAACAATAAAAATTTGAGCCCTTACTCTCAAGTATCTGAGGTGAAAACTAGGAATACACTCCCTCCTCCTTTCCACCTACCACTCCTCCCGCCCCCTCCTTTCCCCTTCGAAATGTACATAGCCTAACCAACCAATAAAATGTCTCGCCATTCAGCCATCCACCCGGCTCCCCCTCCCTCCACCTGCCTCGAATCTCTTCGCAAGAAATCCTCGCAACCATCCCACTCCCTATCTCATCTGCGACATTGAAGGTCGTTCACATCATCCACCATCAGCCGAAAAAGTTTTTTACAGATCGTGTATGGTGTTGGCCGAAATGAGCCGAGGTTTAGTAACTGCCTTAGGGCAGGAGTGGGGAGGTTGGTATGTGCGGATTTTACCTGAGAGGATTTGAGGCAGAAGGGATTAGATGGGTAGATTAAATGGCTACGTGGCGTGGACCTTTGATGGTTGTCTAGACCACACAGAAGAAAGAAGGAAGTGGCGACGAGTGGAAGGGACGAGGAAGTGTGCTCTTGGTTTTTGCAGCGGACACCCGGGGGAGAGAAAGGGCTGAAACGCTGCTTGTTTCCAGAGTATTCTTATGGTGGGGATGGAGAGGAGCTCAGATATTGCTTTACAGGCAGGGTATGAGGACAGAGTAAAGAAGGAGAACAGGGATATAAGTCAGGAGATCGAGGCAAAAAATGCAGACAGCAGTAAAAAGAAAAAGAAAACAAAGCACTAGAAAAAAAAATAGATTGAAACAAGCCTGGGCGCAGGTATAAAAGCAGAATCAAAAAGAAAATGCGGACCTAAAGCAAAAAAAAAGTAAAAGCAGACGAAAAAGCTGAGCTTATGCGAGTGAGAATTGTCTTATTAAAATCCATCGCTACTAGGGTACTTCCCATCAACGAAGCTGATGCTTAGGTAAAGTTGAGAACGTATAAGATAAAGCAACGCAAGTAATGCTGAGCAACCGGGCTTTTATAAGGCAATTTCCACTCGTATGTTTTTCCATTTACTAAGTTTTTATTTGTTTTTTGCTTTTGATTTTTCAGTTTTTATTTGCTTTTGCTTTCTTTAGTTTTCCTACGTTTTTGTTGTGCAGCGTTATAGCGCTGCTACAGCAAGCAAAAAACCAAACTGTCGAGAGATCCTTTGTGTGTGTGTGTGTTCGGAAGCGAGTGAACTTTGTCACCCACTTTCATCTCAGTAACCAGAAAGCTGAGAGGCTGAAATTTTGGTTATATGTTCCTACCTCGTGTGTCATCCTCCCGTTCTAAAATTTTCACTCATACGCACCTAGACCGCGCGTACAGTCCCAGAAAAAAATATACAGATTTTTTTCGCGGAAAACAATTTCGCGAACCAGGCAAGATACAAAGCTGAAAATTTGCAGGGAAATTCTATGTGCTTGGTGAGCTAAAGATTTCAAATTCAGCTCTCGCGCATGCTTATGCAGCGCGTACGATCACGTCAAAGTTTGCAACTTAGTACTGTGCTAACTCGAAAATTTGCCGGAAAACAATGACTGGAGTATTGTCAGCATATTTGTCATTCATATGGAAAATCGTATACCTAAAATGAGCACTGATTTGCACTTGCTCCATGACTTAGGGCAATTCAAAGATGTTCGTAGTGAAGTAGCTATTTCACTTACCGGATAAGGTGCGAGGCTGAAACTTCGCTGGGATATTCTACTTTCAAGTGCGATCTTTATTCTGTTTGGAAGTGAAATTCCCTGCAGCTGGACATGAAAAATGTTCAGCTTTACCGAAAAATTAGAAACGAGTGCATTTTGCAGTGAACGACCGCTCTTATCCTCTCTAAATATGTAAATGAGCTCATTTACATATTCGGATTTTTTGACGAACGACCGCCCCGGCAAAATTTTCATTTTTCAGTGAACTGGATATTTGCATTTTTTCGAAGAGCGAATATTTACCAAAAAAACGACCGGGTTTCACAAAATAGAACTGATAATCATATACCTGGAGGTCCATGCGGCTCTATATTGCAACGCTTTCATCTCAACCGACGCCCTTTCTCCTGCGTGCCGTAAGAGGCTAATGCACGGCCAATATGAGTGTTAGGCTGCAGCGCAGGGACCATTCCTGCTATTGGCGATCTGCGAATTTAGTGCAAAAACGCATGTCCGCACCGGCAAGCCTGGCGCGTTCCAGCCTGGATTATTCATAGGTACCGATTCTCTGCTTCCGCTTTTTATGCGTTTTTTACAGCTATGCAATGCAGAAAATACATACTGACGAGGGTTGTCTGTGTGTGTCTGTGTGTGCGTCTGTCACGCTTTTTCATTTCAAGACCTACAAAAGTCACAGGGCTGAAACTTTGGAGACTTAATCTACATGCACGTGCGGGCCCCAATCCCCAAAATGGGCGCCATTACAAGCGTGGTATTCACGTAAAAGCTCGCCAAAGTTTTTTACACGTAAGCTGCTAACTCAGGAACCAAAATCAATTGGGGGGTGAAATTTTAAGGGGATGTTCCCCGTTCAAGTAGGTATTAATGAGCTCAAACTTAGTCCCCGGGTAAGCGCAGTACCCACGTAGAGGCCCGCCAAAATTTTTCCGGGTAAGTTCATAACTCGGGGACCTGAAATGCTAGAATGCTGAAATCTTAGGGGGATGTTCTCCGTCCAAGCAGGTATTAATGGGCTCAAACCTAGCCCCGGGTTTGCGTGGTACCCATGTGCGGGTCCGCGAGAGTTTCCTTCTAGTAAGTTGCTAACTCGGGAGCCAGGAAAGCTAGAAAGCTGAAATTTTAAGGGGTTGCTTCCTGCCAGTTCTGGCGGTCAGTCTTAATTTGTTTAGCAAAACGCATTTGCCGAAAAAACCGGTGACGGTAGCAACAAAAACTGCTGGGAACTATGCAAAAAACTCATCTTCGCACAGGCAGCCCGTGTGTTGGCCAATTATCTTGGCTTTTTTTTACAAGTCTCGGTTTCCTTTAATTCACTTTTCCTTGCACTACCCTTTGTCTCTTCCTCTTTATTGCTGTTTCCAGTTCTTGCCTCGAACTCCTGACTAGTACCGCTGGTTCCCTTCTCTGCTCTACCCCCAAATCCTGCCTCCAGAACGACATTTGAGCACCTGTAGGCTGGTCCAGGGTGGTTTTCTGGATGAGGGAGGGGAGGGGGGCAGTTTGGATGATTTTCTCCCTCTTGACCGTCCTTACAGCGGAAGCTCCACAACCCCCTCCCCCTCGTTTTTCCGTCCTACCAGCGTAGATCGCGGGGAGAAGGGAGGGAGAAGTAGGGCTTCTGGCGGAAGAGAGGGG